GCATGCACAACACTGTGAGTGCAGGTGAGTGAGTGTGTGCACATATACACACAGTGGAGTTGTACCCTATATGTGTCCGCTGGCTGTGCTGCAGGAAATCGCCAGGCCTTTCTGCACCGCACGCTCGGGCCAGGCTCACACCGCCATGCTTTCAGAGAGCCGCCAAGCACACACACCATTTCAGCACCTTGGCGTTTTCTGTTCGAAGCTGTTAGGTCCTATGGAGCTGAGCTCGTCTCACAGCAACCCTGTGAGCAAGAGATGTGAGCCTGGTCTTACCTGTGCCACCCTCACAATCTCTGACACTCAAGTCCTTTGCTGCTGTCACCTTGTCAGTCTGTCTCATTGACACTCTCCCTCTCCTTCGCTGTCCCCCCAGCTTTCCTGGCATGATGTCCTCTCTAAGGAATAGCCTCTCCTAGCAACACGCCCAGAGCTGTGAGAGGAGATGGAGCTTTATTCCCTTTGACTCCAGGGAGCACTCTGGCTGCATCTCCCCCAAGACATCATTCGTTTGGGAGCCCATGGGATCTTCAGCACTCTTTTCCAACACCACAGCTCAAAGGTATCGATTCTGCCATCCTGAGTCACGGTCCAGCTCTCAGATACATCACAAGGGACTGAAAAGACCACAGTCTGAAACAAACTAAGGGATTTTCTAGAAGGTTCCAAATACCCATAATGTAGAAGTCATCATTTCAAACACATCACTGAAGCCCCCAAAATCAATCGACACAGTCATTGCCTGGCCGCATACTGCCGGAGTCAGGGCTGTGACACACAGCAGCATGGGGAAGCTGAAAACATCACACCGGGAGAGGGTCAGTCATAGGGTGACTACCTGTGACCCCCACTGACAGGAGGCGTGCAGAATAGGCAAAGGCAGAGAGAACAAGGCTGGACAGTGGTCACCCAGGCCGGGGATGGAGGACTCAGGGCTCCTGCTGGCAGCTACAGGGGGTCTCTGGGGGCAAAGAGGCTTAGAAAATGGAGAGAGGTGACAGGTACACCCCACAGGGAAGGTCATGAGCTGCCCAAGCACCCGAGGGTGGACAGACAAGCTCAGCCTCCACAGTGAGGCTCCAAAATTAGGGTCACGTGAACACAGAGGCACTCAGGAGCTGGACCCTAGGAACTGCTGTGCCCCACCTCCCAAGCCTCATGCCACCACACCCCAAGCCCCAAGGCCCTGCCATCATGGACCTGCACTAGAGGAACCCCTGGAAGCTCTGCCAGGCTGGGGATCAAGATAGCCAGGCAGTTGCTGCCTGGCCCCATGCCCCCATAGTCACCCCACAGGCCAGGACAGACCCTGTGGAAGTGAGATGCTTCACTGGGCTTGGAGGGCGTGGACATGGGCAGTTGCTTGGAAGAGGCGCCCTGAAGCCCAGCTTCAGGGGAGGAGGCTGAAGGTTCCTGCAGGCGCCCTGGGCACTGGCCACCCCAGTGCCTTCCTGCTGCAGGGTCTGTCTCTCCTGGAACTGGGAGCAGGGAGCACCTACACCTCTGCTCCCATGTGCTGGGCCCCTCAGGCCATGCACAGACCCCTCCTGGAAGGGCACCCTAAAAATCCACCTCATCCCCCACTTTCATACAAGGTATTGTAAAGGGGTCCAGAAGTGGGGATGGGGTGGGACAGGTGGCTGGCTGCTTCATCCCCAAGCCTGACAGAGGAGAGTGGCTCTGAGGCAAGGGCTGAGGGAGGGAGGAAAGCCAGGTTAATAGTGACAGTAGTTGGTTAACAGACCTATCAACACCTGGTGAGCCTGAAATGTCAGGTAACAAGATGGTCAGTAAGGGAGGAGTCCATGTCTATATTTCCTCACAGAAAGTTCTAAAAAATGCATCATGGACAATCTTCTCCACTCGCAAATGTGAACGCTGATACAGAACCAAATCACAGACCTGCCCCCTGGAATAAGTCACTAGCCCTCAACTCCTTCCTGGGGTGGCCCAAGCGTTTCTGTTTCAGGTCACCTCCAGACTAGCTGGTCAGGAACTGGTCAGGAGCTTCCCTTCTCACGCCCCATGCAGGCAAGATCGTGGGTTCTGCACTCAGCATCCTGGGCACCATAGCACCGGGCCAGCAGGGAGGACATCTCATGTGGGGTAGCTCAGGGCATGGTCCAGGGGCGCAGCTATAAGCCTGAGCTGGTTGGCGGACCTGGGGCTGCGAAAGCTGAGGACTCTGGCCCTGGGCCCTGGAGGGTCAGGGACAGACAGGCAGATGGCACAGACACACTTCTCATTAATGCAATGAGGACGAGGCCAGAGGGCATCTGGGGAAGGAAGCTGTACAGACACCACCACGTGGAGACACGCCCACCCCAATGTGGATGTGACCCCTAACTCACCAGGCTTGGAGGGACCTCGGGCAGAGGCCAAGGCACTCTCATGTTTATGAAACAAAATCTGCCAGCCTGAGCCCTGGGTAAATATGTTGCCAAAGACCTCTTTAGAGCTAGAGAGTGGAGCTCTGGTGGCCTAGTGGCAAGAAGGTGCACGGTTCGAATCCACCAGATGCTCCATTGGAGAAGGAGGGGCAATCTGTGCCAGTCAGATCCGATTTGACAGCACACAACAAGGGTGGGGGTGGGGAGAAGTAGAGAGCTAGAGAGCAAAGATGTTATCCTGAGGACTAAGGTGTGGCCAAAGCCCCATATTTTCAAGGAACTTAAATGCATGTGAAGGTTGGACAATGAATAAGAAAAAACAAGAGAACTGGTTCTTTAAATCATGGCTGTTAGGTGCCCTCTGCCAAATGTGACGGCTAGGGACCCCAGGAACACTGGACCTGGCACTGTGCTGTGCCACCCTCACATCTCCAGCACGCACAGCCCGTCACTGCAGACACTGGGCAGAACTATGGGGCAGGTGAAGGGCATTTAACACACCTGGGACCCCAGAAGAACAAGCAAATCTGCCCTGGGAGAAGGGCAGCCGGGTGCTCCGTGGAGCGAGGCTGGTGAGACTTCCTTCATGTGGGCACGTGGTCACACACTGTGGGCATGTGGTCAGGGAGGTCAGCCCGGAGGAGGACATCACGCAGGGAAAGCAGAGGATCAGTGAGGAGGAGGAAAGACCCTCCCGAGGACTGACTGCAGCTCTGACGACGGCTCGAGCACAGCAGAGACTGCGGATGGTACATGACTGGCCACGTTCATTCTGTGGTGCCCGGGGTCACCGTGCATGGAACAGACTCAATGGCATCTGACAACAGCCACCAGCAGACTGAGATGTCCACTGAGGGGTGGGGTCCAGCGCCTCCACCACGTGCGTCCACGTTATAAAAGCCTACGACCACGGCATGGACAAAGATGGGCCACCATACAAGCAAGACAGAGCACGAGCGAGTGACAAGAAAGCACTGGAGAGTCCCCAGGAGCAGCCTCTGTCACAGCACATGTAGAAAGTCCCACGGCGAGGGCCAGTGGGTGCCAGTGTCTGACGGAAACAACAGAGCACCAGGAATGCGAGCTGCACCTAGGAGTCACCTGGGAGACCCACTCACGTCCCCTCTCAGGTTCCGTCCCCACCTGCGGAGCCTCAGGGAAACCCTTGTGGGCACCACATACCTACAAACAAGCAGCAAGGCAAACACTCACCCAAGCCAGTCCCTCCTCACCTGGCCTCCGGAGCCTGGAATATGTTCTAAGATTTAAGGCTTAGAATTCTGAATTTAAAGTGTGGGGGAGAGGAGAAGAGGGGGAGGAGGGGGAGCCGAGGAGGAGGAGCAGGGGAAGGGAGGGGAGCACAGCGCCCCTCCTCTATGGGTGGTTAACCGCACCGACTGGTCACTCAGTTTGGTCCTGTGTTCCTAAGCAGAGGCATCTGATACACGTAAGGACAAGCGAACACGTGCTGCAGGGGCCCAGGACACAGAGGGGCTTCTGGAAGACTCCTAGGTCTGTGACCATCCAGCTCTCTGCACAGCCATGATTAAAGGCAAGATTAGAACAGAGATAGTCACCTGTTGGGGTTTTGGGTTTGCTGTTTTGGGGATTCCCTCCCCCCAAATCTTCCCTAACAATTTTTAAACTATAAGCACATAAAGTGGAACACTTTTAAATATTGTTACGAGACAAAGTACCCAACTGACACAAAATGGAAGCAGCAGTCAAAAATCAAGATGTGTTGGGAGGGGGAATCTGCTGCAAAAGACCTCTTTACAGTGCAGACGAGCAAGGGAATCAACTTAGAGACTAAGGGGTGCCTGATCCAAGCCATGATATTTTCAATCATTTCCTACTCATCAGAAAGCTGAACAATGAAAGAAGACTGAAGAACTGATGCCCCTGAACTGAGGTGCTGAACTGGCAAAAGAACCAGCAGATGTGCCTTGGAGGACACGCACACAGGGTGCTCTTAGAGGCAACAATGGGGAAATGTCATCTTGTGGACTGTGGGCTTGCTGCCAAGAGGATTATTCCTGGGAAAAAGACATGCTGGGAAAGCTGGGGGTCCGTAAGAGAGGAAGACCCTCAACACAATGCACTGACAGTCCCTGCCGTGAGGGTCTCTATCACATGCAGATGGTGGTGAGGATGGTGCAGGCCACAGCGAGGTCCAGATCTGCTGTTGCTGGGTTTGCTATGAGGCTGGTCAACTTGACGGCACCCAACAACCACCAGCACAAAGCCCGAGTGGGATGCAGACGGTTTCCAGCACGCCCGCCCACCTTTACCTCTGGATGAAGGTCTGGGCCGCGAGCAGAGGGGCGTCAGGAATGTCCACGGCATCACCGGAGGGCTTCGAGCAGGTGACGCTGCCACTGTCGATATTTATCAGGATCAAACCGTCGGCCTCCTGAAAGACACACTGGTGAAGCCGGTGTAAGACTCCCCACACTGCAGTTCTCGGGAAGCACTCACACACAGCAGCACTAACGGGTCAGTGTATCACACTAACGGATACAGAACTCGATCTCGCTGCTCGAATCGATCCTGACTTAGGACGACCCCGTGGCACAGAGGAGATCTGCTCCGTGAGGTTCCAACGCCTGTGACCTTCTGATGGCGCCCCTGGGTGTATGCACCCTGAGCTCTCAGCTAGTCGTGACACATAACCGTTGCCCCACAAAGGGCCTCCAGCCGCAAACACTTCCTATAAAACAATGCAAAGCCAGCAAGGCTCACTCTCCCCCCGCGTCTTCCCAAAGTTCAGCTCTTTCCTCACAGAGGACCAGACAGACCGGAAAAGGCCAATTGTCCCTGGACTGAAGGTTCACTGTCCCAGGCTCACAACCCTGTGGTGGCATTTACAAAGGATGCTGTCCGGGGCCCTCTGTCCCCAGCCCTCACATGACCACTCCACTTGTGCTGGTCACTCTCCTCCCATGACGACTCATCGCCACAACCTGACTCAGGGGCCCTGGTCTGCTTCCTCTCTGAATGCAGCCTCCGGCTGTGCAGACAGCTGCTTTTTCTGCCCTGGTCACCTCCAGGAAGCCAGCGGACACATTGCTAAATCCCTGCGATGACCACTCGGGAACTGCCTGCCACTGTGCCCACCTCAGGCCCAGACACACACACCCTAGAGGTGCTAGGAGCCAGAAGCCCTGGGGCGGGGCAGTACACACACACACACACACACACACTCTCTCTCTCTCTCTCTCTCTCTCTCTCGCTCTCTCTCTCTTAAAGCTTTGCCCCAAGTAGCTCTGAAGGGTGTTCTGTGACAAAGAATGCAGATGCTTCTGGGTGATGTAGGAATTTCGTTAGGAACTCCACTTGTCTGTGTTTGCTCTGGGCCTGACCTTGAAGTGTTTCTGGAGGTCCGTGGCACCTGCTGCCCCTTCCTGCCGGCCCCCATGCCAGGCACACACAGTGCCCAGCCATGGACAGCCCTCTAAAGAGGCCACGTTCCACCTACCCACCCCCTCACCCAGCCTGGCCCAGCACTCTTTGTACCTACCACCAGCACCAAAACCCACGAACACAGGCCCAAAACACTCTCAGCTAAGAGAGGCTGTTCTGCTTAAACCTGCGGAACCCATCCATCACGAAAGTTTCCTTCCTGACCACTGACTGGAGTCACTTTCCTCTGACGAGTCTGAGACAAAATGCCTCTTCCCCCAGTGACCAAAATAAACCCACGTTCTGACTTGAGTCTCTGGGGGCAGAGGGGGGACGCTCATCTCTGTGCATTCCTGAGGCCTGGACAGATTTCTGACGAATGTTTACCCTCGTGAGTCACTCGCTCTGACAAAGACCTGGAAACTCCTCGGTCGTCCCAGGGTCCCCACCCCAGAACCTCCACCCCGGGGCCCCTACAGCAACACTGCCCTGATGAGTGCCTGCTGGACGGGAGGCAGAGTCGGGGCTCCTCTGAAATGCTCCAGGGGAAATGGGGTGCAGGGTGGTGACAGGGTGACAAGAACCCAGGACTCGTGTGCTCTTCTGTTTGTGTGCAGGGAGTTTCTAACTAAAAAGTCAACTGACTGAGAGTGAAAATTCCCTGGATGGGGACAGTGTCCATGAGGCACCACTTGGGTGGAGACCCTGCCTGCACACACAAGGCCCTCCGGACGCTGGACAGAGCGACACCAAGCCAGCCTGAACAGATGCCTCCCCAGGAGCGATGGCAGCTAAGTGTAGGAAAGATGTGACAGCTGTGGCTGAGGTATGGACACATGAGCAAGGCTCTGCTCAGGGGAAGGCTGGCCGGGGCACAGGTGCCACCAAATGAACTGTGCCCCCATAAAGAAGTGTTCAAAACCCTAACCCTCTTTCCAGGTCATATGCTACTTGGGACCAGGCTGTCTTTGTCACATCAGTGGAGCAGGATTACTGTGTGTGTGGGTCCAACCCTCTCACAAGTAAGAAATGTAACAAGAAGAAGAAAATAAGAAATAAGCACAGAGATAGGAGAGGTCACACTGAGGTGCCCACCAAGCCGGTCCCATGGGCCCAGCCAAGTCCAGCTCACAGGGACCCCGGGGACAGAGGCACTGCCTTGAGGATGCCCATTGCTGTCACCCCTACGGAAGCAAGCCAGCTCATCTCTCCTGGGGACTGGCTGGTGGGTTCAAACCACCAGTGTGGGAGTTACAGGCCTACCGATTTACCCACTGTGCCACCAGGATACCACACACTGACGGGACAGGACGTCGTCCAGGGCTGACAGAGAGGGACGTCCCCCTGAATCCCGACTGTGTGAATGGACAATGTCTGGAGGAGAAAGCCTCCTTGGGGTGTCTGTGTCACAGCACCAGGACAACACTGACCTTGCTGACTTCTTCAAAGTGGTCGAGGTGGCAGCCCATGAGGAAGGAGGTGGGCGCCATGACGAAGTCCAGCATCTGACGAGAGAGGATGGGCACGAAGGTGTGCTGCCACTGCAGCGGGTGCAGGTAGACCAGGAAGCACTCAGCCACCAGGGTCAGCAGGGCCCAGTCGGACGAGAAGAACACCATTCTCTGCTCGGTGAGCATGCAGGTGAGGACCTGCGGGGCCAGGCGGACATGGGAGCATGGCGGGCACTGGGCGTGGACAGACACACACTCATCTGACAGGCGTGGGCATGGTAAGCACTGGGCGCAGACACAGAAACACACACACACACGCATCTGACAGGCGTGGGCATGGTAGGGACACAGATACACATGTCAGACTCATACCCAACAGGAGCAGACCTGGCTTCAGACACGTAAACTCAACACGAGGGGACACGGATGTCAACAGACAGGAGTAAGGCACTGACACAGACACACACACAAATACCTGACAGGAGTGGACATGGATGTGGACACAGACACAGACACACACACACACACACACACACGACATGAGTGGACATGGATGTGGACACGGACACACACACACAGACACACACGCATATCCAACAGGAATGGACACAGATGTGGACATGGACACACACACGTACTTGACAGGAGTGGACATGGATGTGGACATGGACACATACACACACATACCCGACAGGAGTAGACAAGCTCAAGAGGACAGGTGTCACCGGACAGGACTTACCTGCAACACTGTCTCAGCTCGGAAGCACAGTAAGGGCAGGTGGAGGTCCAAGTCTATGAGAGGGCTTTCGGGATCTGCCTGTGAAGGGAACACGACCTGCAGCGGCTTCATGTTGAAGATCTGTGAAGACCAAGATGCAGCACCATCGGCAGGAGCCGCCCCAGGCACAGCGGGGAGACAGAGCGGGTCAGGCAGCATTGACTACGGCACAGACAGAGCCCCACTTTACAGACCACAGCAGCACATCTAGGGCTCGGCATCTTAAAACGCGGGCACCAATAGCCTAACAGTAATTTCACTCTTTGCAAAGGCAAGCAGAAGCATCAGGTAATCGCAGATTTTTTTACCAAATGTAGCGGTCCTGGCGGTGGGCTGGGTATTAAAGACAATTTTGCAGCAAATTCTTTTATATGATCATCAACTTCAAAATCTTTGCAGAGCTTCAGGTGGATCAATAAACTGAAATTTTTTAAATAAAAGGAGATTACAAAATGAATCAAACTGTACATCTGAAACAGGTAAAAACTATGCCTCAGAAACCTTTGGGTATAAAATTTGAAGAGGCTAAACCGCTGTGATTGAGTTGATAACATTCCCTAGCAGCCTTGTTCAGGGAGATGTGGAGTTTCTATTTCAGTGACTTTTCCTAGCCATTGTTTGGCTTCGCTACATAGATAGGCAGGTATAAGTGAATGGGGCATATTACCCTATCCACTAGGGATTGGCTGTCTATCATTTCCAAGGGGATTGGCCAGTCTCAACAATCTACAAAAGGCACACCCATGTTTATTGCAGCTTTGTTCACAATAGCAAGGAGTTGGAAACAACCTAAGTGCCCATCAACAAACGAATGGCTAGAGAAGCTGTGGTATATTCGCACAATGGAATACTATGCTGCATTAAAAAACAAGGAACTCATGCAATATTATTAAAAATGGTTGACTCTGGAGAACATTATGCTGAGTGAAATATCCCAGTCACAAAAGGACAAATATTACATGATGCCACTGTTGTAGAATGGGACTGTCCTTGGGGTTGGGGAGAGACTGAGTAAGATGGGTTCAATAATGTATACTGCACTGAAACAGAGGAGGGAGAAAAATGTTTAAAAGAGATATATAAGTAGGTATTTCTGTCATCACAGGAGTCTAGAGCGAGGGCTACATGGTGGAGGGGACCTGGGGGAGGGTTTGTAAAACAATGAAAGAATCTTTTCTTTTACTTTTCCATAATTTTTGACTTATGTACTTATAACTTGTTAGTCAAATTTGTGTCTTCTAGGCTGCAACACCCCCATGATACATCTTCAAGGATATGAACATGTACGGCCAAGCATAATCAATAAGAGTGCATCTAAATTCCAAAATCAATCTCCATAATAGTCTATGTGTTTCTTACTGCCAAAGGGGCCCTTTAGAGTAGTTAGAGAAGATCTTCACCCTGAAACCCACAGCGTCCCTTTTCAGCAGGAAGTAGCTAAGAGAATACGCCGTCCCCTTTTCCTTATGACTCAGGGTGAAGTCTCTCTCAGGGAGGAGTGATAGGGAATGGCAAAGGACACACTGACAAAGAAGATTAATGAGAACTGGCTTTGACAAGCACTGTGGCATTTGGACAAGAACAAACTGGGAGGAGGGTAGAGAGAATAGTGCAACAATGAATGAATGGAAACCCAAAATCTCTGTAAATGTTTATGAAAATTAATAAAATATAATTATAGAAAAAAAAACAATCTACAAAAGGACTGGCTGGGTGGACTTCTAGTGGACTTGAACTGCTCACCTTCCAGTTACCAGCCCAGGAAGCACTACACCACCAAGGCTCATTTAGAGAAAATGGTTAGACTAAAAAGCTAATGAAGGTTATCAGCTAAAATAGAGAAAAAGGCCATGCCTTAATTTATCTTCCTGTGATTTCCCTGGCCCTGGCAGACAAGTTCTCAAGAAATTCTCTTTGGAGATAAGGCAGCGCTCTTGTCCACAAAAGTGTCTGTGCCCATGAAGGAACACACAGCCAGGACGCTGGTGCGAAGCAGCTCGTGCAGGTGCTGTGGCTTGAGTCCCGCAGGCTGCAAAGCGAACAGCCGGGCTTCTGCTCACTCAAGTGGGGGGTAAGTATGACCAGAGTTGTGGAATTTTCAATCATTCCATATGTGGCAAAGCTTGACAAGGGAACAAGGAGACGGAAGAACTGGTATCTTTAATTATGGTGTTAACAAAGAATGCTGGATTTGCCATGGACTGCTGGAACAGGCCCCTGGTAGCACAGCGTCTTAGCATTCAGCAGCCAACAGAGGTCATTCAAGCCTGCCCGCACCCCTCGGGAGGAAGGGGGCAGTCCCTCCCATAAAGAGTTACTGCCTCGGAACCTGACGGAGGGTCACGCTGAGTCACTGTCGACTGGACAGAACCCCAAGAGGGTCGACTGGACGAAACCTGACGGGGGGGCACTCTCAGTCACTGTCAACGCAGGGTCACTATGAGTCACTGTCGACGGAACCCAATGGAGGGTCACAGAGTGACTGTCAACTGGACAGAACCCGCCGGAGGGTCACCTGAGCCACAGCTGACCTGATGGCAGGGATTTTAGCCAGAAGAAAAGCAAATCTATTTTGGATGAAGTGTGGACATAATGTTCCTCAAAACGAGGATGATGACAGTTCATCTCACATCCTCTGGACACATCACCCGGAGGGACGAGTCCCTGGAGAAGGACATCAGGCTTGGCCGTGTGGAGAGTCAGCGTAAAACAGGAAGACCGTCAGGGAGACGGGCTCACACAGTCGCTGCATGTTGGCTCAGGACAGCAAGGAGGGGGGATGGAGCAGGGGCGGGCAGTGTTTCACTGTGCGAGGCCAGTGTGCGTCCAAGACGCCCCACTGCACCCCACAACCCACCTCACACACACCAACCCAGGGCTGGCCCTCGACAGCGCTCAGCACCACGAGACAAAGACGAGCCCTTGTCAAGGTCGCCACCCGATCTTTACAAATTCCACCGAGCTGTGTAATCAGGACTGATGGAACAGTTCCCACATGTCAGGGGGACTGAACGGTGCCCACACTGAGGAAGCAGCCTCGTCATATAGGCTGCTAACAATGGGGATGATGTCTCTACTGTTACAGCTGGAAGAATAATAATAATATTTAACAATAATAATAATGAGTCGCAAGCGACTCGACGGCACATAACAACATCATCATCATCATCATTATTATTATTATTATTATTATTATTATTATTTTACTACTGCAATATCATGTCACTTTTACACATCAGGGTCCGTGCAACACTTTCCAGACTTTAGAGACTCCTCGGCGTGCTCTCACTACACTCCCGTTATCAGCAGTAAGACGGTCACTGACTCTCACCAAAAAAGGCAATTTGTAAATACAGCTCAGAATAGCAGTGTTGGGCGTCTCACCTTCTCAGAAGAAAAGGCAACACGTGTCCTGTCACTTGTCTCTAAAACGCCAGAGCAGAGACAGAACCCTCCAGACTAATGTCGTCCCCAGGCCTGGCTCGACCTCTCTGTGTCACGTCCTTCATTCACAGACAAGCCGGGTTTTCTGAACGGCTCTGCCTGCTGCATCGGGATGCCGTGGGCTGACCACTGATGCTCGACCACCGCGGGCGGGGCCCCAGGGCTGGCTTACCAGGAGAGGCAGTCCCTGAGCGCGTTGTAGTAGGGGTAACGGGAGATGACACACACGGCGAAGGGCACGAAGCAGCCAGCCGCGCCCACCGCCGGCCGGGATGGCTCCCAGTGGGCTTGGCCGTTGTAGAAGCAGTATCCGTTCTGGGGAGGCAAGCAACAGCATCACCACAGGGCAGAGCCTGTCCACTCGCAGCCCCAAGTTCACAGTGGTCAGCACCACGGCACACACAGCACACGTGTCCACTGCAGACGCTGGAGAGAGGCCTCCTTCAACACGGAGCCCAGCAGCCCTGCCCCTCAGCGTCTGTGGGGTCTCACGTGGTGCCGACCCCTACGAGGTGTCCAGGATGGCTAAGGCACCCTTGACTTCAAGAACACAAGTCTGGGGGAGGGAGAAACACTCATGATCAGAAAATGGTGTGAGTGAGAAGGTGGACACACGGGGACTCTCATTGCTTGTGGGATGTAAAAATGGTAGACAACAGTGAGAAGGTTCCTGCCAGGTACACAGAGAGCCCAAAACAACAAGTCCCCCAAACAACAGACCCCAAAACAGCAAACCCCTTAAATAACAACCCACAAACCAACAAGCCCCCAAAACAACAAACCACCAAAGCAGCAAACCCCCAAAACAACAAACCACCAAAACTGCAAACCCCCAAACAACAAGCCCACTGCCATCACATGTCTCCCACCCGGCAGCCCTCCACTGGTGTCCACGGCTGTCAATCTTCTCAGAAGAGACAACCTCATCTTTCTCCAGATAGGTGTGGAGTCAAACTGCTGACCTTCCCGTTAGCACAGCATATCTAACAACTACATCACCAGAGTGCCTTAGAAACACTGTTGTGGTGGTTGTTGTTGTTGTTGTGTGCAACGCTGTCAAGTGAGAACCGACTCCAAGCTGACTCTCAGAACGGCCATAAGGCCCAGCAGCTCCACGTCAGGCACGCGTCCCAGAGCTTGAAGGCAGGTGCGAGCAGATGCGGGTACAGTGTCCACTGCTGCAGTCTCATCAGGGAGCAGGGTGGACACCTCCGCCATGCCGCCAACGAGAACAGACAAGCAGTGCACGGTCCGCTCACCCAGGGCTGACCATTTGGCCAGCAGGAGATGGGCCCTGAGCCCTGAGCCACCAAAGCATGAGCTTCAACCACTTTGCACAGTGAGAGGAGCCACACTCACGCCACGTGCTGCCAGAGTCCACCTGCAGGAAGCGTCCGCAGGGACGGAAGATGATGTGTGGTGACCAGCGGAAGGACCCAAGTGTCTGAGGAAGCAGATGGGAGTGCTCACATGGGGCGACAGTGACTAGTGGACTGCAGACGGTGAAGACGGCCAACCGTGTCACCTTCTATCACCAATTACACTGTAAAGAGTTAAAATCAGAAACAGCATTTTCAAGGGAGCTCTGGCGGCCTAGTGGCAAGAAGCTGCACTGCAATCCGGAAGGCACGCAGTTCAAATCCACCAGATGCTCTGCTGGAGAAGGAGGGCAATCTCCTCCGGTAGCAGTCACATCCAATTTGATGGTACACACACACACACAAAATAAAATAAAATTTTTAAAAAAGAAATGGAGTTTTCAGGAGAGAAGCAGAAGAGAAAACGTGTACAATGAGCACACAGGGTCCCCGAGAGGGGACGGGTGGGGCCTGGAAAAGGGCAGCGGCCACTCGGCCACACAGACAGGGTCCCAGGATGCAGTGGCCACTCAGACACCATGGACAGGGTCCTGGGAGGCAGCAGCACTTGGTCACCACAGACGGGGTGCTGGGAAGGAACTGGGTCCCAGGAAGCAACAGCCACTTGGCCACCACAGACAGGGAACTGGGAGGTAATGGCCAGTCAGCCACCACGGACAAGGTCCTAGAAAGCACTGACCACTGAGTCACCACGGACGGGCCCCTTGGCTACCACCTGGCCACCACAATCCAGATCCCGGAAGGCAGCGGCCACTCAACCACCACAGACAAGGTCCTGAGAGAAAGGCAGCTGACTCCCATGGTCAGTCCATGCTGGCCAGAGTGCTCATGCTGACCATTCACAGAAGGAAGACGGTGACCCGGCATGCATGGTTGAGAGGTCCCACTGTGGAGGTCCATTCTGAGCACGCTGTGGGACACAGCAGGCCAGGGACAGGAGGCTGTGCATTACCGTGAAAGGAGCAGGCTTCTCACCGGCATGGTGTCCAGGGCACGTGAGGCGGTCTGCGCCTCCCTGGAAAGAGGCATGGTGGCTCGTGGTTAAAGCATCCAGCACTAGTCCACAGTCAGTGATTCAGACCCATTATCTGCCCATAAGGCCGCACAAGCAGGCGGCCAGTGGCCTCTGTACAGACTCAGGCTGTGGAAACCTGCAGAAGTGGCCTGTCCTGCAGGGTCCCTGGGAGCCGACTCCACGACACAGGCAGAGCCCACCCGACTCCATCCGCATCCCTTCTGGTGTCTAGAGCTGCTGTAACAGATGTGCCAGAGAAAGGAGCCTCAGCAAACGGAATCTTGTTTTCTCACCATCTGGGAGGCGGGAAGTCCCAGTGTCGGGTGCCGGCTCCGTGGGAAGGCGCTCTCTGCTGGGGGACAGCCGTCTCCAGGGCTCCTCCCATTCCTTGCAGATCTCCACGTGGTGCCTCTCTGCTTCCTGCTGTGTCTAAACCCTTCTTTCCATCACAGTCCCCGACAACACCACTAATCTATCACGGGACCTCGTTCCTGGTGGAATTACATCCCCGAGATTGTTGTTGTGACATGCCCTCGAGTCAATGCCAACTCAGAGACCCCACTTGACAGTTATCGCCGGGTGCCCTCACTTGGTTCTGATCCGCGACCCTAGGAACACCAGCCGAGCCCCGCCCAGTGCCGCCCATCTTCACAGCCTCTCTCGTGCTCAGCCCACTGTGCAGCTGTGAGTTTTCCTCTTCCTCACTGACCCTCCACTTGACAAGCATGCTGTCCTTCTCAGGGACTGACCACCCTGGCCACATGCCTAAGTGCATGAGCTAACACCTCCCTCTCTCAGGAGGAGTTTTCTGGCTGCAAGTCTTTCAAGATGGCTTTGTCTGTTCTCTTGGCAGTCCACGGTATCCTGGGTACTCTTCACCACAATCCAAAGGCACCCACTCTTCTTGGGTCTTCCTTATTCAATGTCCAACTTTCACCGTACATAATGCGATGGAAAGCACCCAGGCCCGGGTCAGGAGAATCTTGGTCCCAGAGTGAAGTCCTTGACAGAGTAGGATAGCCCAGCAGGGTTTCAAGGTTGCTGTCCTAGAAATAAATCCCCAGGTTTTTTTCCTCCAAGAAATTCCTGCATGGGTTCAATTTATTGACACTTTGGCTATTAGCCAAGGGCTTAACTGTTGTAGTGTGTGTAGAGGAGCTCGGACTTTCAATACATACTTTGAGGAAGACAAGATTTAATCCATTTCTCAACACGAAGTGATAGATGAAGACATGATTCAGCACCCCTGAGCATGGTGCACCCGGGCAGGCCTTCCTCTCCAGGCCCGGGGGAGCACTGGGAGCCCCCCTCACTCCCAGGTGTGCTCTCTGCTTCTGGAAACCAGAGGAATCAGGACATGGATCACTACAAGGCTTCAGTGATGTCACTTCCCTCAAAGTCCTCACCAGCCAGATGATTCACACAAACACCTCACCCCAAAAACGGTTTCCCCTGCGGTTCGGATCCACCAGACGCTCTGCTGGAGGAGGGGCAATCTCCTCCTGTACCAGTCAGATCCAATTTGATGGTACACACATGTTGTTGTTGTTGTTGTTGTTAAATGCTGTCGAGTCGTTTGCGACTCATAGCGACCCTATGCACAACAGCCCTAAACCCTGCTCTACCCTGCACCAACCGCACCGCCTCTGACACACCCATCCCGATTACCCCAGTCACCGAATCAATCCATCTTGCGCACGCAGGCACACACATACAAAATAATAAAATAAAAATTCAAAAATGCTTCCCCCAATGTGAGAGACGAATGGTGCACCTGAGACCTACGTCCACGACACGGCCAAGCGAGGACACTGGGGGAAGCCGAGCAAAAGGCCACACAACCCAACAACAACACCATTAACAGTCATACAGGTGGACGACAGCAGATGCGTCAGCTCGACGCGTGCCGAGGTGGAAGGGCTGCGGCCACAGCATGCAGAGGTTGCCGGAGGTGTTTCTGCACCTGCATTTGCTTGTGCTTCTAACACACCCAGAAGTGGTGTCTGTCAAGGGCTACAGTGGAAGGTCAGCAGTTCAAATCCAGCAGCCGCTCCTCAGGAGAAAGGAGGGAGGCCTCCAGTCATGAAGAGTCACAGCCCTGGAGTCCTAGTAGAAGGCTACTAGGAGCCAGAACTGTGGGAGAGCAGGGCCTTGGGTGGGGTTTACACATAGGAGGAGAGAAGTCACTGCAGCTTCTCAGGCAGCACTGACGCAGGGCCAGGAGCACCGTCGCACGACGCCCTTGTCCCAGGCCACAAAGGCAGTGTCCTCCTCCGGCTGAGGCGAGCGGGGACTGGGTCTCAGAAGCCTGTGGACTGTCCACGACACAGGGGCTGATCTCCTCCCATTTGAAGGGAAAAAGAGTGAAGAAAAATCAAAGACTCCAGGAAATAACTAGCCCACAGATGGTCTACATGGACCTCGGAGACAAGAGGGACCAGAGAGTGCCCAGCTGCCTCCTCTGACGGGGAGCCGTGAACTCAGGGACGAGACGGGCCAGAGAGTGCCCGGCTGCCTCCTCTGACGGGGAGCCATGAACCTTGGAAACAAGAGGAGACAGAGGGTGCCCGGCTGCCTCCTTTGCCTGCTCTGACTGGGAGCCGTGAACTCAGGGACAAGAGGGGCCAGAGGTGCCCGGCTGCCGCTGACTGCTCTGACAGGGAGCACCTGGCAGGTCCCAGCAGGGCCTATCAAAAATATAAACTAACGCCGGACACACTAGCTGGATGCCTGGTGGGACCTCTTAGATGCCGGCCACAGCAGCCTGGCATGGAAACCATCGAGCGTTCATCAAGGACAGAAGGACGAGGACAAGCTGGAGTGGAGGAATGCAGTGGGAGTGACCGCTTGCCTGGAAGGTCCAGAGCAGAGCAGGTGAGTGGGTGCAGGGCTGGAGGGAGGGTTGGGGGTAGGGAGCGACCACTGCTGAAGGTGAGGTCTCCTCCCAGGTGATGGAGGTTACAGACTCCAATGGAGTGAACGCTGCACCGTCCTGGGGTTCAGGGAAGGACACTGAGGTGTACACCTCACGTTACTGACAGGATGGACTCCACTTTGTGTGAGCTCACAACCAACCTGGCCTGTCGCTGCGGAAGAGGCAGGCACTTACGTGCAGGGGTCGGTAGAACTGGGCAACCACACCATGAGTCCTGTTCCCAGAGATGTCGGTCAGCACCAGGAAGTGGACATAGTCCTCCTTGGGCTCAGAGGCCACACACACGCCTCCTGGAGACGGAAGGAAGAGAGAGTGCATGTCACCAGGCACCAGCCCCCCGCCACATCCATGTCCAGCATGGGACCCCGTGTCCTAGATGAGGGCTCTTCCCATCCAGCACCTGGCCAGTGCAGGCCCCTCGGCCGCTTCTTTGGTGTCACGACCGACTTCTCTGAAAGCTGGGCGGGGGAGCCTCTGCCCTGACACCTGGCTTCACTCACACTGATCTAAATGTCCTTCTACCACAGAAGCTCTGGTGACTGTAAGGAGCTGTGCTGCCAAACCCAAGGCACGTGGTTCAAACCCACCAGCGGCTCCTCGGGTGAAGGCTGGGTAATCTCTCACACGATTAACTGCCTCTAAAAACCTGCCGGAGGGTCAGCTATGAGTCACGTCCAACTTCACACCACATAATGTAACATCTGCCATGAAACCAGAAGGGCAGCCTATGCCCAAGGACACGGCTCAGAAGGCAGGACAGGGCGAGAGGGGTGGAAGAATGGAAACGCACACCCCAGGAAGGAAGTGGGAAGAGTGCTGTTACAGTGAGGGGGTCACAGCCTGTGTTAGAAACATGATGTACATAAATCATTAAAAAGAAAACAAATGTGCTTCGTAAACGTTCATTCAGACTACAACTACAATAAAGAAAATGTCCTATAGTTTTTAAATAGCAAAATTAACAAGAATCATAATAAATCCCATGATGAATCTCAAAGGCCACAAGGCGCCATCAGCGTGGCCGCCAGCTCCACCTTGTCTACTTTCATCTCCAGAAAGGAATCCTTCCGTGTGGGCAGCCAGGCCCTTCCACCCTGTCCCTCCAAGTAACGGTACCTGGGAAGCAGAGCTGGGGCAGGGCTAGCAGGTCCACCCCGTTGGGAACATTGATGTCCTCGGCCTCTGAGACTTTGGGGTCCCCTGGGAGACCCCTGCTCTGCTCCAGTCTGGCTCTGTCCTTCTTCTTCCGGAAGGAGCGTCGTCTCGTTTTGCTCAGGGCAGCGCCGCCGGCTCTGGCCATCTGACTGTCCTCTGTACTGACGAAAGGAGGCACGAACACCGACAGGACCTCGGCGTCCAGGGGAGGGCTGCTGACCCCTCTCCTCTGGGAAACCTAATGAAGGCAGACCAGGGTTAGCACGGTGTGGCATGGGCACCGTCTCATGTGCCTGGAGCTCCACACAGACCATTCCTGTCTCACTCCATGCCCACAAATGCCAGCGTCTATGGGATCCCCACAAGTGCATAGCACGTCCACCTGTAAGGATCACATTTTGGCATAAATTGGTCCCCAAAACTATGCTCCAGTCCATCGGTGGACCTCATTTGAAAGTAGGTCTGTGAGGATGTTACCACTTCACGGGGTCCCAGTAGAGTAAGACATCCTGATGCTATCTGCTTGGTGTCCTGTACGTGTGGAGACACAGGCAGAGGGCCCTATGACTGACATCAGGGCTGCCAGCAGCTGGAGAGGACAGTCTGATGGACAGTCGCACTGGGGCCTGGAGGGTCCAAGCATCCAACAGCACGTTTCCATTCTCCTGGGCCCCAGGGTATGAGGTGGGTCAGTGCCAGATGCCCAGAAGAGCTGTGTAGGACCTTCAAAGGCATCACACCCAAGCGAGTCATACAACCTCAGTGCCTGGCTCTCCAGCAGTGAACAAAGCCAGCAGAACTCAGCCCTCAGGTCAGACTGCAGGGACAGGGTCCCAGAGACCCAGGTTCAAATGGCCCTGTGTTCTAGAGACCCAAGTTCAATCCCCCTCTGTCTCTAACTGGGGGCAGCAGATTCTCTGAGCTTCCTGCCAAAGGACTAGAAGCAGCATGAAGGAGACACAGAAGCGAGGGCAGCACACATGGCTCCTGGGAAGCCCCCAAGGCTCCTGGGGGCTCTCGTAGTGGGGGAAGGGCAGATATGAACAGGGTTCCACCTACTCTCCCGCCTTCCCCAAAAACACCAAGCAGCCGGTCCACTCAAACAAACCAAAACCCTCACCCAAACCGCAATGAAGCGTTAAACAAAAGCTGAGTCGATTTTATTCTTTCATCTGAGAAAAGAAAAAGAAAAACACAACAGCCAGTTGCCACTGATGGCCATCAACTCGAGATGCCACGGGTGTGGGTCAGAGCTGCCCGCAGGCTTGGCCAAGCTGGGAGCTCTTGGAGATGGACCATGAAGCCTGAATTCCGAGGCACCTCTGGGTGTATTTGAACCACCAGTGTGTGCAAGTTACAAAAGCCCAAACCACAGTAAACGCATCCTATCGGATTTCCAAGGCCAACATGTCTTTCTGCAGCTCAGCAACTGATGGGTTTCAAGCACCGGCTTTTCCGTGAGCAGACCGACGGGTGATCCACGAGGCTGACAGGCCTCCTTCTGGAAAGTTCCCAGCTGAGGAAACCACGTGGGCAGCTCAACGCCGCCGCAGAGGGCTGCTGTCTGTGACTCAGAATTGACTCCAAAGCAGTCGCTTTTGTCTTGGGTTCTGTCTTAACATCCAGTCAATACTGTCTGTGTACTTGAAGACCCAGTAGCCTCAGTAAGAGCCAAGACCCAGCACGGGAGCCCATGTCCTGGCACCGTGCACGAAGGCAGCCCATTTCTTCAAGCTATGAAATGTTCCTAAAACTTTTCTACCAAAAGTCAACCACACTGAACTAACTAACCAGTAAACCAGGCTCTCTCATTTCTCCCCCACAGAGACTTCTACCCTCAGTATTCAAGACTGAACTGCCCCCCCCAAGCATGTGCCAGGACCCCTACGCTCCTGCCTGCGGCCATTATCCCACGTGGGCATGGGCTGCCTTGTTTACACTCAGGGGACAGGAGCACTGTGAGGGGGGGATTCCTGAGTCAATCTCTTTAGAGACATCAATGGGCACAGAGGAGTAAGCAGAGAAGAGACTGACAGCTGATGCAAGACACATGAAGACCCCCAAGGGACAGGCCCTCCCTCAGGTCCAACAGAGGGATAAAGTCTTCCCCTGGAGCCTGTCAGGAGCATCTCGAAAGTAGTAAGGAGCAATGACGTTAGTTTGAGGACTAAGGTGCACCTAACTCAGGCCATGGTCTTTTCAATCACTAGCTATGCTGTTCTGGGCAATGGATGATAAAAGAAGAATGTATGCCTTTGAACTGCGGTGTGGAGAAGAGGACTGGCTATCCCACGGGCTGCCGAAAGGAGGAGGAGAGATGTTCTGAAGAAATGTGCAGCCAGAGGGTCCTTCATCTCACACATTATGGGCATGCTGCTGGGAGAGGCTATTTGTTAGAGAGGGGCATCATGCCTGAAAGGTGGACGGGCGGTGAAGAGAGGAAGACTCTCAACCAAGTGGACCGGACCAGTGACTGCAGCAATGGGCAGTGTGCTGCTCACAGGGTCACTATAGCCATACTCAACTCAATGGCACTTAACAACAACTACAATTAGAGCTGCACCCCAAATTCAGACTTCCAGCCTCATAAACAACCAGAGAAAAAAGTGTTTGCTAAAGCCACCCACTGAAGTATTTGTTATAATACTGCTGAAGCGAGAGTGGCATCCACGTTCTAAACAACACGCCTCTGGAAACTCAACTGTGATAAATGTCCGATAGTTGTAGAGGGGCTTCAGCCCTTTTGTTCATAGGGTCGCTGAGTCGTGCTCAACCTGAAGGCAATCAACAACAACAAATGACTGCACATCTGTGACAGCAGCACTGGATGACTGAGACGGTACACAGTGGTGTCTACGACAGCAGCACTGGGTAAATGAGACAGTGCACTGTGGTGTCTGTGACAGCAGCACTGGGTGACTGAGACAGTGCACTGTGGTGTCTCTGTGACAGCAGCACTG